CGTTGCTGATATCATCGATTTCGTCTGTTTCTGTTACCATCAAGATCGCGATAATTTGCTGACTAAATATGTTACATCAGCGCTGATTATTTCTTATAAACATTAGATCGCAATCATGCATGAATACCTACCTACCATCTCCTACCTAAAAAGTCAAATAAATTCTTAAAAAAACGTTTGTATATTCCAAAGCCACCACATTTAAAAGATTATAATCACATATCATAATGCTATCCGAACTTTTTATGTTACAGTTGCAAAAGCTTACGTGAATATTCTTAAAGAATTTTACATCGTAGGTATACCACGCAAGATCTGTTTTGAATTTAGGACGATTATTGTCGGTCGAGATCTTTGTAATATTTTACCTACTTTAACCCATTACCAGATATATACGCCTTTCTACGCCTTTTTCACCCCCATTCCTTTTTGCTTTCTCAAATGGTGAAAAAATGCCTTAATTTAGGCCCCAAATACTTGTTTTTGTTTTCGAAATGTTGTTGAAAAAATTGACCACTTTTTCGGCGCGGCCCCCCTTCCAAAAGATACATCAGGGGGTTGCCAGAAGGGGGATGTGCCAAGAAAATTTTGGACTTGTGGGAGGCTAAAAATGCCCCCAGGTCGATCATAAGGTAACGTGTAACCAATGCTGAAAAGCCTTTGACTCTATCTCAATCCATTGAGAAGTGGCAGCACTTTGAAATCAATTTTGATGGAAAAAATCAACGCAAAATAGTGATTTTTGGCAATTTTGAGATGGCCCCTAGTTGCCATGGTAACAGGAAATTTCAGACTGAGCATGTTGTTACAAAGGCAATGGTCCAGTCAACAATTGTGCCAAGTTTGATTAGTATTGAAGAAGTTTTTATAGTTTTATAGCAACTTGAACTTGTAACGGGATACTTTTCAATGAAAACAGCCATTTTTCACAAAATGCTCATGGGGTAATGGGTTAAGATAATTAAACACTATCCTTTCTATCATTTTCATATAAATTTTACCTGGTGTTACAAAGTACATTTGTTTGCTGCTTTTTTTTTCTTTTTCTTTAAATTTCATTTTTTTTTGTACACGCAAATCGCTCGTGCTTCAACAATTTCATGTAAATTTATTGTTGTAAACGAAGAAACGTTGAAAAAAACGTCCGATTAAGACGACGGAAGTTTAATACAAACAATTAAGTGCTACCTGCAGAACGATTTTTATTTAGATCACGAATCTATAAACTAGAACAGGCTATTTCTAATTTGCACAACGTTCTTTTAACCTTTTACTACATCAGCAAATGTGAAAAATGGCTGTTTTCATTGAAAAGCCTCCTGTTACAAGATCAAACTGCTATGAAACAATAATGATCAAACAAACATGTATTTACAAAACGTGTGCTTATTATCTGTAATCGTATAAGAGACTTGGCCTGTGAAATCCGGTTATAAACAAAGAATGAAACAAAAATGAGTTGAAATTAACCGCGAATCATAATGATAAAATCAAATGTTTCCACCGATGTCATAAATTCCTGAAATTAATTACAAGGGGGTCATACCATGTACGCACATCCTCAAAATTCTGAACAACAAAAAAAACGGTCATGTAAAGCAATCAGAATAGATTTGAATTTAATTTCTTTTGCAAAGAAGATGTCCTTACTGCTAGTTTTAATATTCCAAAATGCCTTGACACAAGCCTTCCCTTTCTCGTCAGTATTTCGCGTTGAATGCGATTTTGATTCTTGATACTGCGTACACCCGGCGTTGAAATGTTACAGAAATTATAAGTTATCATTTAAAAGAAAACACAAGAGAAATTTTGATCTTGATATCATATTATTAGGTAATTCGAGATCACATGTTTCACATTCATATTAAATGAATATATTATTCAACACAAATAGAAATTGTTTCATCATGAAACTCAATCAAAATGTCTTTGTCTATTCACATGACAATCCATTAATCATTACAGAAGTAATATTCATAATCCAGCAACTCTTTATAACTTCTACAAAATACAATATTGTACAATAAAATATACAAATAACACACAATAAGGGTGGGCGTGGAGGGTAAAATAGAATTTTCAACATGTGATCTTCTTGTCAAACGAATACAGAATGAACCAAAAAGGCAGAAGCGCAAGCGACAAAAAAGTTTACCGCCAAAAATATAGGCGACCAATAGAAAGTTGTTTACTGCCTACGTAATGCATAAATTAAAATCCACCAATGAAAAAGAGTTTTTAAAAAGGTCAAATTCATTCAACCTTATAATTAAGTTATTTTAGTTCAAAATAAACAAAATTATAAGTTATCATTTAAAAGAAAACACAAGAGAAATTTTGATCTTGATATCATATTATTAGGTAATTCGAGATCACATGTTTCACATTCATATTAAATGAATATATTATTCAATACAAATAGAAATTGTTTCATCATGAAACTCAATCAAAATGTCTTTGTCTATTCACATGACAATCCATTAATCATTACAGAAGTAATATTCATAATCCAGCCACACCCATGGCCATGAAAAAAACAAACAAAAAACATTACAAAATACAAAACATCAGCAAATAAAGTTCAGATACATACAAATCTACTAAGAGGCTTTCATACCACCTCCTTAGTAGCATAATCTCCAAGACTGGTCATTACCAGCTTACGAGACTGAGCCTTTCTTGAGAAACAGTGTGTCTCAAGCAAAGGCATAACGTACATATATCAACTAATGCATATATTTGAATATAAACATTAAATTCAATATCCTGAAACACTCTACAACAAGTGTATACACAATAACAAAACCACTAAGAGGCATTCTTTTAACCTCCTTAGTAGAAAGTAATCTTCAATACTAGCCATTGCCAGTTTGTAAGATTTAATCTTTCTTGAGTAACCAAGTGCCTCAAGCAAAGACATAATGACATTAGAACATGACACTATCTTACGAATGTATATTCTAAAGATTATAATAATTATGAACATATTTTACTTAACAAGCTGTCTAGAAATACAAATATTGAAACTTGCAGTAAACATGTAGCGCTCATCCAACACTAAGATGTAATTACTTTAAGTGAGCAATGGTATTAATGAAAAATTCTTTCAAACGCCTTGTACCTTCTAGATTAAGATGTAAACCACCATCTTTTATAGCATAATACTCACGACGGGGCAAGCCACATTTAAGAAAGGGTTTGAAAGTTCTAATGAAAATAACATTTCTTGATTTGCATAGTAGAACCAATTTATTGTTTAAATTTTTAACCCTATTACCAGTAGTATCAAAATCTATAGGGCGGGGAATAATTGCAGATACAATAATGCTTCCAGAAGATTGTTGACGAACATTGGAAATCAAATCGTTAAAAGATGAGATAATCTCATCTTCTGAACGAGGGCCAGTTACATCATTGGTACCAACATGTAATATGACATAAGCAGATCTAAGATCAACTTGACCTTGTGAAATACGAAAACTTAACCTTGAAATATTAATTCCAGGAAAGGCTGTTATTTGAGTATCCCAAATACCTGACACATTTTTGGCAATGGAGTCTGAGACAATTGTACACTTTCGAAGTGGTGGATGAGCTACATGTTCTGAAAACATACAAAGAACAGTTTATTAATGACTATATTTAATTCAAACATAAAAAACATGAGAAATATTCTTCATAATTTTACACTTATCTTCAATGGATAGTGAAATATAACGTTTATAAACGTCAGAATGCCAATCTCCAAGAATTTGAATTTCATCTGAACTAATATTATTCTTAAAGGCAAGGGTAGCAAAACCACGCCTAAATGAATGAGAGGAATATAATGATGAGTCAAACCCAAGATCATATTTAAACCTGACGCAATTTATTTTGAAATAAATAATAAGTTACCGGTTTACCATTAGGTAAAAGAAATAAAGCATCTGCAGATTTCCCAGGAATGACCTTTAACATGTTATCATATGCAGTAACCGGACACAAACAAGAGCCTGGTAACTTTAATAGAGGAGTCTGTAAAAGACGTTCTCCAAACTAAACGAATACAGAATAGAATAGAATTTTCAACATGTGATCTTCTTGTCAAACGAATACAGAATGAACCAAAAAGGCAGAAGCGCAAGCGACAAAAAAGTTTACCGCCAAAAATATAGGCGACCAATAGAAAGTTGTTTACTGCCTACGTAATGCATAAATTAAAATCCACCAATGAAAAAGAGTATTTAAAAAGGTCAAATTCATTCAACCTTATAATTAAGTTATTTTAGTTCAAAATAAACAAAATTGAGAAATTGCCGATTAAACTGAAAGTTTCACACAGCTGGAATTTATTTCATTGTAGATTCTATGTCATAAATATATTTTCAATCTTTGTTATTTTTCCTTTGTACGAAAAATATCATAAAACAAACTTTCGCGGTATCAGAATTTTTGAGAATGCGCGCGCATGGTATGACGTACCCCTTGAATTATAGGCAATTTGAATTGAAAGTAAGACCCTGCTGTTCTAAGTATTCAGTCATCAAATATGAAATTTTGCAATTAATGGAACAATGCTTTAAGGATATATTACTGGTTTTAAATGGATTTATACACGTAACATCAAGTAAGAAATGTCATGCTCTTTAGCAGAGACATAGATGATAAAATTACCTAGTTTTAGCGTGACATATCTTTTATAATATAGATCTTATACAAATTAATTTTGTATTAAAATCTTAAATTCGTTTTGACAGAAAGCAATATATCTTTGGATAGGCTGATTTAAAGTTAACAAAATATATTTTAAATAGTCACTGTCTGATTTACGATCCGTGAAATAGCTAGTGTAGGGCTACATGTGCGTATACATCCTATGTTTCAGTAAATAAAATTTATATGGAAATTTATGTTAGCGACGCTGATTTGTCAAAAAAATTAGAAAATAATTGCTCACATGATAAACATGTGATGTAAGATCTTTATCAATACAAGATATCGTTTAAATAGCTTTAAACGACTCTGATAAGTCCAGTTTTATTCGTATAAGGCATCATTTTAGACATAGCCTAAGAACAACAACAACAACCGAAACGAAACGAAACAAACTGTGAGATAAAAAAAGAAATAGTGAGGCTTGTTACGAGGATGACTTTAAAGGTTCATGTTGTATACTGGTGAGTTTAATATTTATTGTTTAACTTTTGTGAATTCATAGAACTTTGAAGTTTGTTTACATAATATTTTACTAAAAAGTTAACATATTTCGGATTTGTTTATTTCGGATGGAATTTTTGATATTATGAGTCACAGCAGGTACGTATATTACGTTAATATACGTACCTGGTCACAGGCCCGAATTCAAAAATTTCGACTGCTTTAACTTGAAATTGCAGTTGAACTTATACGTGGTTACGTTTGATTAGTGAAAGCAACGAGTATTACATTATGAAAAAAACCTATATTTGAAACGAATTTGTGTCATAGCACGGATTTATATTGCAAGGATCGGACACTTTCGTTTAGCTTAAAGTCCCGTCGCTCGCATGCGCGGAATCGGATAAAGGTGGACAGAATGAGATGGCGGAACGCTCGGAGTGCGAAATATGACAGATTTTCACAAGAGTATGTGGTGTTATTGCAGCTTTGTGAAAAATTATACACATATGAATGTATTGATACAGTATTAGTTTGTGCAGCTAAAGTATTAATATATGAAAATACGCCGATAGAACGCTGCGACGCTTAGTTAAAAAGTACCTAATTTAAAAAATATTCGCCTATTGTTTAGGCATACTCTCTACACTTTGACGCCCTTTTACGTCAAACATAAATTATTACCGCGATTCAGATTAAGATAATTATTTTTTACATGGTTTAATGGTGGCATTGCAAAAAAATGTTTCTTGATTGCTAAAATACTTTTATAGAAATTCATGTTTGAAATGTGTCTTTATATCTGTGAATTATTTCCAAATGATTTGTACATTTTTTATTTGATATACCTGTATATCAGTATAAATATAGTATATATTCTACTAATTAGTGTATTAAATATATTTTCAGATCATTCTAGACATTCGTTCATATATAGATGAATTCATTACATTGGCAAGGAAGAAACTTTTATTGGCATACTGAACAGCTGTTTTATAATATTATTTTTTTTAAACAGATTTTTTTCATAGTTATCCTTCACAATTCACGTCAAATGATTTATTTGTCATATGTTTATTTTCATTATTTTTCAAAGAAAGGACTATAGAAATTAAGTTGTTTATCTTTAATTTCATTTATAAATGTTAATAAAGAAAATAGATTTCCATTGTATTTATATATATCCGCTTCAGAATCATTTTCTTACCACACATGCCGCGCACATACAACATTTACATTCAAATTCTATTTGTTTTTGAAGATAGAGTGTTGAAATTATCACATGTAACCTGATAATGAAAGTTTGAAAATAAAGTTTTTCAATTATCACTTGTTACTTGGTAATTAACCCCCTTCAAAAGTAATTAAACTTCAAAGAAATTTAAGCGATGTGTAAAAAATAATCAACAGTTACTTTTATTTCGCATAATACTGACTCAAACTGTAAAGATTTTTATTGTTTTTTAGCGTTACATTAAAAAATATCAGAAATATCTTTCTACAGGCATTCAAATAAAAAGAATAATTAAAATATACGAGTGAAATAATTAAAATATACGAGTGACATTAAAAAGGCCGGAATCGAGACAGCCACACGAGAGTACTTTACTGTTACGATGATTGTCTACTTCACTGCACCGACATTTGAAAACAGATTTACAAAAAAATAATAATAATGATATAAATGATGAAGAAAATTTAAATATCCTATGAAAATGGCAATACATGTATTGACAATATCAGCAATATCTTGTATTTAAAAAAATGAATAAATTTACTTCACGTGTTGAGCGAATTGTAAAGCCCGCAATACATTACCCGTAAAACAATTGTGCGTCAATTAATTTGACTACATAACCAAATAAATCTTAAATATTGCATCTTTGATCAACTCTGAATAACTTCCGTCGGCTTCTTTTTTTTATTATTTTGAAATTGAATTTATTATGTTACCGTAATAATAAATTTCAAATAACTGCTTTTTATATAAAAAATGTAAATTTACCGCGGATTTCGTCAAGTTAATTTCTTAATCGTCGTTGCGGACAGATAGTCTGTATCTTTAAAAAATAAATTAGATATTTGAATTAAACAAGCATTTTCCTTGAAAATAAACTTTAAATTTCAAAAATCGGATAATAAATGGAAAAGCTATATGGTATTTTGTAAAGTAGGTATCCGTTGCGAACGGGCATTTTCGCTTAGCGCCGATAAATTATCGATCGATGTACCTTTATCGGGTGCACGACAAGATATTTAAGCATTTATATAGGGTTAACTGGGAGTGTCCGATCCCTGTAATATAAATCCGTGGTCATAGTAGGATTTGCCAATTAGAAAACCTAGCTAAACGCCGTTTTCCAGTACTTTCTGTACATAGCTCTGGGGAATTCACCTATTGACTTAATGTAGTGTCATAATGAACTCTATGTTTTTGACCTTTTTTGAATAAAAGTGAAATAAAAACTAGGAGTGTCATCGATAAGGATATTTGTATCGATATATCGGTAATGAATTATCGGCGATATATCGATTGCCAAGGCAAAATTAAGCTTTCAAGTCTTTTTTAATTTGTTTTAATATGCAGTTACATTTAAACACATGCAATAAATAAATAAACTATGAAAAGTGAACAATTTGTTTCTTTTTATCATTATAACTTTTAATGACAACTAATGACTAGTAACTATAATGTTAAAAGCTTTTTCCATTTTACTTTTGTTGTTGTTGCTATTATGCAGTTACAGATTATGCTAAATCCCGTCTTTGCCGTTCTATTACTAAGCCGGGTTTAATTGGCAAATTATAGTGTTTAGAACCGGAATAATTATTAAAGTTTAACATAGATGTAATAATTATTTTTACAAAGAAACACTTAAAAAAATTTCTTGGCATTTTCCCTTTTAAAAATCTTAATTGGGGGGGAGGGGGTCTTGACCCCCACTTAACAGACATGTGAGATGACAACGAAATTCGGCAGCATTCATTAGAGACACTGGGAGGTAACTCTGGTGTTGATTTTAGTTTTAGAAAAAAAAATGTTTTGAATATGTTAGTTCTGGCTTCCATAACTTTATATTTCGCTTTTATTTTGATGTTTGGTCTATCAGTACTATAAATCCTGTTTGCTGAAGAGTCTTTAGCAAGAAACATGTGTGCAATGATATCTGATATTTAAAAATGGAATGGATATCGAATCGGATAACAAAGATCGTTGATACACCGATATCGATTGAATCGATTACACCCCTAATAAAAACAGTTATTTCTTTGTAAGAACATAATTAAATATACTTGTATGAATAACTTCATATAAAAAATAAAGTAAATACACAAGTTTACACAGAAAATATCTCTAAAGTCTAATGGAGGATGCCACTACGTCTGATTTAATATTATTGAATATCATTATAAACAATTAACTTTTTTGAAAAATATGCAATAGATATTAAAGGAATATTGATAATTTTCTTAAATGGTAAAATAATGTCATGATAGAGAAATAGAAATATCATGTAGTTTTGTTATGTACTTCATATGGTGTAATTCCCCAGAGCTAAATTGGAAACATACCGGAAAAAAGGTTTTTAGCTAGGTTTTCGAAAAGGTCAATTAGTAGATTTCTATAATTTGAATACATTTTGCAATACTGCTATAAATATAAATGAAACACATAAAATGTTTTGACATGTTTTTTAAACCTTTTCTGGTCACGATTGATGATCAGTTAGTATGACAGGTGTAAATACACTGATTTCTGAACTGGCACACATCAGGCTGTTCTTACCATAAATTTGTATTTTTTGAGTAAAGATAATCAGCTGCATATCTCTCTGTATAAATCATATGCATATTGGCCGTCAGGTGATAAGCATATTGCATCAATTGGTATGATTGGAATATAAACTTCTCCGACACTTTAGGTATTTGATTCATTACACTTGAAGACATGGTGTTACTGTCAAATGACAATCACTCTGTGGGATATATTTATTATAATCTTCTTTTGTTATGCCTTTTGAAAGTTGCATGTGAACATCAACAGCTTGAAATTTAAGTTAATTTAAACCGAAACATGAGTCAAACTTGAAAAAAGTCCCTATGTCTCTAAGTTTTATTCAAATTGCTTGGACTTACCAAAGTTTTATTGTATATAAATCTCCACTCCACTTCCTTTCATTAAAGGGGTTTTGCATTTCCCTACACATCTATGAAAAAAAATCTTATTATCTGCATCATTGCCATGTTAAAATGGCGGTTTCTCATCTGGTATACTTTATTTTAGGTACACATAGTAAATGATAACCCACTGTCCATCGTTCCTAAAAAATCCTAAAAACTCCATTTATTTTTTTTCATTTTAGCAAAAATTTCTAAAATTTGTCAAATACGCAAAGGTAAGCCAATATCATGGACCTTTGGGGCCGTAGTTTAGTTATAAAATAACAAATTTTAGCCCTAAATTTTCTTTTATGTACCCCTAAAATTCCTAATTTTAACCCTAAAATGTCTTGAATATTGCCCTAAAATTTGTCCAAATTTTTTGTCAGAAGGTGCTGGACAGCCTGTAATAAGTTCTTCATTTTCCTGGAGAACTTTCAAGGTGTTAAAATTTTGATCTTTGAAAAATTCATATTTCTACATTGTCCCAGAATTTTCAGATTATTACACATTAAAAAGTGTAACATTTTAGACTTTCTTTGAAAAAAAAAATCTACATATTAAATTCAGTTTTAGGTGCACATTTAAACTAAAGGCCCTTTAAGGGGTTGGGGTGATGGAGACACAAACACATAACTCTTAACTTTTTCAAGCTATCTTCTGATAAACTATTAAGTTTTTAGTGACTGTGATATTTAGTATTAATCAATAGTGCATACAGGTACATTGATTTTAATTTCTCTTTTAATCTTACAAAGCATGTATTTTCTTTTTACACTGAACATGTGGTAATAATCAGAAAATCTTGAAACATCTTTCATCAGTTGGTTTGCACTACTAATCACTTAAAATGCAAAAATGTGACAGCATCACACAGACACATAAATTTATGTTTTAGTGCTCAAATGATTTTCATTAATATGTCAGAACTCTTTGTCACACAATAAATAAAGTACTGGGTTTTGCACTTTTTATTACATCTCATATAAATGTTTCATCTGAGTTATTTTATTTCAGATACCATATAAGGAGTAGATATATACTATCCATTTCAAATATCATATTCAAGGTTTTGTGCAAAACACTTTAAATGTATATAACATATATTTGAGAATAAACTATAATCATTTTGCATGAAACTTTTGTATTGCTCTGCACCGGATTTCTTATTAATACATTAAGTAGTAACCCAAAAAAATTAATGTGCTTATTTCATTCAATGTTCTATTTCATTAACTTCACACTGTTAGTTTTAGGTTCCCAAGCACACAGTTAGTGCAAATGATTGAGTATCTAATAAAGATTTGAAAAACTTGCAGACTGTACTCGAGGAACCTTTTAGTATTGTTAACTATTTTTAAATTTATATTTAATGAGCCCACATTTGTGGGTGTAAAGTTACGTGTGGTATTGCACTTCAGCAAATGCAAACAGATTAACCATCAGACTAAATCAATTATACACCATATATAATATGTACATTTAAACTAGTTTTAAGTACAACTTTGTGTTGTATGTTGTGTCGCAAACAGCTTCGCTTTGTCAGCATTGAATTCCCAGATCTGTCTTTAGGGTATGATTCAAAAAAGCAATAAAGTTTGTGCTTTCATGGGTATGGGTTTACCAAACATATTTTTAATTTGATTTATGAAAATGTTAGTACATATTATTATAAATACTGTATTTGCATTATTAATTTTTATGCTTTCTTTTTTTCAGAGGAGCATGAGGTTATGCCTCCAAGGTAAGATTTTATCCTTTTTTTCTGTCTTTTACAAGATATTATTTATAACAGGGCATATTCCAAAATACCAAATCTTACTTGTCCATTGGTTTGTATTTTTTCCTACTTTCAAATTAGCATATACACCCAGAGATTTTTAGGAAGAAGAATTTCATGTTAAAAATGAATAAGTTATATACATTTACATTTTTTGAAACTTTTTGTTAACAGGGAGAAAATTTGATTAAAAATAGTTAATGTAAAGAGATGTTTAAGTTTTAAATAGAATAAAAAATATCAATGGAAATGCGTTTAGTGACATATAAGTAAATGGTCACTGGTAAGAATCAAAATAAATCATTTTGCCATAATTATGTTCAATTTTATATTAAACTATGTAAAAATAATCAATAATTCCTGACCAATGGAAATTTTTATAAATAAAATCTGGAATGTTCCGGTATTTTTCAATTCTTAAAAGAGGGAGGCAGTCTGTAAGCTTGAAAGAATTCCAATATGTTATATCCTTATGCACTGGGTTGTCTGTCCGTATGTCTGTTAGCAACTGTATCTTTTAAACGTATGAAAGGAAATGAAAACCTAATGTCAGAAATTTTAACCAAAATATAATGATGATGTACAGAGCGCAGGATTGACCTTCCTAAAGCCATTTTGCATGAATTTTAAAATTTCATGTCCACTCTATTCTTTTGAACAGTCAGACAGAAATTAAAACTATTTGACAGTCTGAGAAATATAAGGTATAATTTGATGAGGTGCAAAACAAGGGCTTGGACTTGAAAATCGACCCCAACGTTGGGATTACTTGATTTAAAGACTTGTACAGGAAAACACGTTTAAGTCTCATAGGGTGAAACTACAGTCATGTAAAAGACATCTTGAGCTTACATATTTAGCATGTATCATTGCCTAATTGACTTTTACAAAACCAATATGAATCATGCCACTGGGTTCAATATTGTCATGCCAGGGGTGGCTTAATTTATATAGACTTATATAGAAAAAAAACTATGCCCAGAACTTAAATATTTTGCTTGTAACATCACTATGGACCACAACGTAACTGTTATAGTCATGCCCATTGGATAAATATATAGGGGGTCACTTATTTAATGTAATCTTGTGTAGGAAAACACATTTAAGTCTTATTTTGTGAGACTGCAATGCCTAGAGCTTAGATATTTGGCCATTTTTTGGCCTCTACTGGTTTTAATAATGCGCATTGGTTCAATATTGTCCCACCCATGGGCTCACTTAATTTATATGACTTATAAAGAAAAAAAGCATTGAAGCCTTCTTGTGTGAAACTACAATGCCTCATAGATTACAAAGCAGGTAGCATTACCTTGTGGACCTTGACAAAACAGATATAATTAACCATGCCCCTTATGTCAATGGGCCTTTCCTGTATTTCGTAGCGGAACATTTAGCCACACCTTTTCCATTCATTGCTAGGTCAACTGCTCACAAACAGTATCACAAACATAATCATGTGTTCTTTTGTGCAAACCAGGTCAACCAGTGACTATGTATTATCTAAGTGTAACAATTGGATAACAAGTTAGCCAATTTACATAAAACTGTAAACACTGGAAAGGTCCATATTGGCCCAACCTTGGGTCACTTGATTTACATAGAGTTATATACATGTATAATAGGAAAACACATTTAAGTCTTATTGTGTGAAATTACAAAGCCCAGAGATTAGATATTTGGCATGCAGCAACAATTTGTAGTTTAACTCTTATAATGCCCAGAGCTTCTATATTTGGTACATAGCATTGTCTAGGAGACCTCTATAACAATTGTATGAATCATAAATTTAGATCTGGATTAATATGTCTTCTCTTTTTGTTTATTTCAGTTCCAAAAGCTAGCTAATGATTTGAAGAAAGAGTTTCCAGATAAACTTGACATTGTAAATATTATGATTTTTTTGTTCCTAAAAACAATTAAAAAGAATAAAACATTTTTAAGCATGAATCTATAGGTCAATGTATTTTTTCTTTACAAGAACTATGTTGAAGACATAAATATTGACCAAACTACAGTGTGTTATACACCCCTGTAGTCCTTCCTCGATTCATTTTTCATAAAAAAAAAATTCAAAAAGAAAATGTCTTCTCCTGAGTCAAACTTATGTAAGTTGATTTTATCTTGAACTATTAGGTCTTGATATTAAGACACTGAAATGTGCACAATTATTTACAGCTCTAAGTAAAATTCAGTTGCTTAGATTATTTAATCTTCTAAATGAAACTAAGGTTTTAAAGAACTGAATCTTTCTTTATGAGAGTCTCATCTCAAAATACATGTATAAATATTTATTTGTTTTATTTGAAATAAAAATTTATATGATGTTGAAATAAAAAATTTATATGATGTTCAGATAGAAATACTGGCAAGCATGTAAAAGTTTTACACTACTGTCAATTTCTTTTCTCTTATTAGGGATGATTTGTGAGAGTAAGTGAATGCTAAAATGAAAACACCTGTGATTTTAGAAGGTTTCTGTTTCTGATCAGATGTTTTCTGTGTCTTATTTAGGCAGAAACTAAACCAAGGCATGGTTATTACAACTACTTAGTTGCAAAATTGTTAATAAGGCTTGGACACTGAATTATCAATATATTTTTGGTCTATGTGACAAGTGGGGCTCAGATCATTGACTTAAATTCTTTTGTCTCGTTTGTTGTCTGGTATGTCTCTCAAAGCTAAAGGTTTGATTATCAACCAGGATGAAAAAATCTTTGTTATACAAATATTCATCCAGCTAGCTAATAGAAAGTTGGTGGTCATTCTTTATTTATTTATTCTAAAATTATACTATGGCAGGCACTAGTCAATCTGCCAGTAAAGCTTGAAAAGTGTCATATAACTATTGTCAACAGTTCCTGTGTGCTTTAAAAGTCAACCCCATTCAGCATGATTGTGTACTACATTTATATTCATATTATTTTCATCTTATTATTTCAGACAAGTGAAGGTACTCCTAATGTAACTGGCTGGTTTGAGGTTCTTGTTGATGGCGAACCTGTTCACTCAAAAAAGGTATATCTTTCACCTTTACCCACCTGGATTTCTGTAACAATTTTACTTACAAACCTATCATGAGTTGGAATTAAAAACTGTGCAATATTAGGGACAGTATTAAGCTGAACTATTAAAAAAAATAGGGAGAGCTATTGTACTTACCCTGGCACTGGTGTAGGCGCACACTTTGGTTATGTTTTTGTGTGCAAGTTGGTATTTGTAAAACAACTTGGGGGGAATGGGTTGAAACTTCACACACTAATTACCTCTGATTATCTAACATGATGAACACAGGTCCCATAACTCTTGAGTTAACTTTTTACAGAGTTATGCCCCTTTTCTTACTGTCGAGCCTTGTGATTAGTTGCATGTGTTGTCTTGCAGACAACTCTTTATTAGGATGAAGAATGAAAAAACATTGAAATTTTTTCATTGTGCTTTACAATTTTTGTTTTATCTTAATCTATATTTGTACAGTTTTAGTTTTATAAGGAATTACTAAACATAAATACCAAAGATGGTTTTAAGATATTGAATTTCATTGAAATCATATGACCATTACTGTACATCTTGATAATGAAAAATTAGTTTCAAATTGATCACATCAGACTTTGTCACAAATTATGCACCACTGAAGGCTTTCTGTAAATACCACCTTGATATGAGCCTTGTCACGACAAAACCAACGTTATGCGTTTGGGACCAGCATGGATCCAGACCAGCCTGAGCATCCACGCAGTCTGATCAGGATCCATGCTGTTCGCTATCAGTTTCTCTACTTGTAATAGGGTTGGTAAGCGAACAGCATGGATCTTGATCAGACTGCGCGGATGCGCAGGCTGGTCTGGATCCATGCTGGTCGCAAACCCATTATGTTGGTTTTGTCGTGACATGGCTCAATTATTATCTTTTGTCTCACTAAACATCTTATATTGACTTGTCCATCTTTCAATGAGGATGAAACAGTTCATTTATTTTAGGGAAAATGTCAAAATATTTACTTACTGAATAGTGAACAGTGTAGACAATGATCAGATAGTACAAATGGTAAAATTTGTGGCGAGCAGCATGCTAATTGTTAAAATGCATTTTTATATATATATAGACATGTTTATCATCAAAATTTGTTGTTGTTTATTTCAGAATGGAGATGGCTATGTTGACAATAAAGCAAAGATTGACAGAATTAAGAAACATATAGAACAAAGTTTGGCGTAGTGATTTACCTGTTAAAAATCTGTGAGTAAATATTTGCTTGATTTGGTATAGTTTATGATGAACATAATTATTAAAGTTGTGGCCATGATGAGCTTCTGTGGTCACCTGATATCCATTAACCATACTTGTGTCAGCAATTTCTTGTCTGTGTCATACCAGTTTAATTTTACTTAATGTTAATTGATCATACATATAATGTGTATCATTTTCTAAAGGCTGTCTGATATCCTTGATTACAGAGTTATGAACCCTTAAAAGGTCCAAAACGAGCATATTTTTATGTTCCCAGAAGAGAGAGCATAAAGTTGCCAGCTTGTTTGTCTGTCTGTCACACTCTTGTCATGAGAAAAAATTGAAAAGTATTGAAGGAATTTGATTGAAATTCCAAATATCAAAGAAATACAAATAAACTTCCAGGTATGTTTCGTTTATTTTTTAGATTTTAAAATAACTTGTAAATTTATTTATATGTGTATAATTGTAGGATAACAACTGGACATGGTTCATTAATTTCTGGAGAGAAGCTAGGATGATGATTTATGATGAAACAATTGATGTGTCATAGATTGGATGATAACAGCTGCTGCCAGATATTGAATATTGTTCACTTGTTGACAGTTTATATGTACATGTTAATGTGTTATACACTCCCATATATTTTGTGTTTAAAATTATTGTTAACAGTACAAGCATGTAACTTGTTATATCTTCAAGGAAAAAATTGATAAACATTTACATTTGAATATTTATAGTGTTAATCCTACTTTCATTTTCCCAGATAATGCAGGTCACTTTCAATGTAATTGATCAGGAAATCCTTTCACTGTACCTCTGCTCTAGCATGTAGAGAAGTGAAAGTGAAGGCAATTAGTTCTTTTAAACTGCTTGACAGCCTGCCTGCCTTGGCTGAACTGTGCTCTGCTAAATTCAGTGTTGCACATTTATATAGTCTTACCAAGCTCTATACTGTTGGTAGCTCAATTTTTGTATTTTGAAATTGAAATATCTTACACTTTAAATTGTCTTTCCCAAATTCAAAAATGGAAAGGCAAATTATTATATTAAATTCAGTATGTTAAGGATTTACATAGGTCAGTATTGCGCTGAAATCCTAAATGGTACAATGGATATTGTTGCTGGCATTTCCTTTATGGTGACACTAAAGTAAGAAGGAATGATATGTTTATACATGTACATGTAGGTACCATAAACTATCAATGTGATATCTAAAAAGGCTGATAATTTTGAATCTCTTTATGTTTTGTTCTTTTACATTTTATGTTTAAGTTCTTGTTAAAGGTAACATTTATTCTCTTTTTCTATTTGTTGAACTTGTTTTCTACAGTAACATGTGATGCATCTACTTCTTCGCAAATTGTTGAAATTTCAACAAATCTCAGGAATTTTTCATATACAAACGATAAAAAGTAAATGATACTAAATAGTATCATTTAAATTTGATATAGACTATGGTATCTGTCACTATTCTTCTGTATTGGAAGGGAAAAGTGAAGTTAGATGTTTTATTACATAGGATTTCAAGATTTGGACAGATCAAGTAAGGAGATAAAACTTAAGTTGTGTATACATGTATATTGCTTTCTCATGCGTTTACAAACCAACTTTTATATAATATTTTACATGTTTTCATTCACCTTAATTAATAAATATGTTTGAGATTTAATTTCTTGTGTTACTTTATCTATAATTTGTTGTTGAAAAATTTGAGGTTATTTCAGCCACAGTGATAAGCATAAATTATTTAATTCAACAAAACTTGTCACTTCTTTTAACACTCAGATTTTTATGTAAACTAAAACACATTTAATACCTTGTTAATCAATAAATATCTGATACAGACTGTGTGCCTGTGGTGTGTGTCTGTTAATTCAGATATATATATTGACGGGCAGATTGAGCCTTACAAAGTATTCAATATTAATGTCCATTATCACTCAAACTTTTTTGAATACATAAATCAGAGCAAAGATTAGGTGGGTTTATATCATGGATTGAAATCATGAATATTTAAAGATATTATTAGTGACTTGGTGAAAAAAAAGTTCTCTTTACAAAACTACCTGTGACCTCATGAACGGTCAGTCACACTAGTCTGCATTTGTTTTACATTGCTCTTGCCCCTCCCCGCTGTGGGTTCGAATCCAAACAGGGACTTTGGATTCTTTCATGTTAGGAAGCTATCCAGCTAGCTTACGGAACGTCGGTGGTTCTACTCATCTACCTGTTTGTGCCTGAAATAATGCACGGAAGGGCACCTGAGGTCTCCCTCCAACAGTAAAGCTGGAATGTCGCCTATTCTGGGTCGGTGCGACATAAAACCAAATCAAACAAACAAACATTGCTCTTGTGGGATCTCCTCTTTCCAGAAAACACGTTTCATCTCGTACTGTTACGTTTTTATAGACCTTCTTTATTGATTCCAAAACTAAAATATCCACAAGCCCAAGCATTTTACAGTGCTAGTTTGATACACTATATTTCCTAATGATCCAAGACTTGTTATATGTTGAAAAAATTTGGCAGACACACATTAAATTTACTTTGATGTTTAAAAATCTGTTCTTTCTTTATTTGTTGCGACTTTCTGAGGGTATCATAAGGGTATTGACTATGACAGGGATGAATTTACGGCACCCAATGATACCTTCCTTAAAGTTGGTTAGAAGGGCATGATGTGGTTATTATTATATATAAATGATAATGCTTTGTCTAAGAATTAAGGATGTGTACTCGAGAATTCTCTAAAAGAAAGTATTTAATATCAAATCAAGCACACGGAGCTGTGTGACAGTGTCTACAACTCTAGTGTCTGCCTATCATACATCTCTATCTACATCAGGCAGTTTATTACAGAACAAGCAATTTTCTTTGGATTTTGTCAGGTAATCTGGTAGATAAACAACAAAACACATTTTAGCTCCAATTCTTTTACTTTATATACATAACAAACCAGAGGTATAGCTTTATTTCTGATAGTTACCAACTTTGTAAATAGAATCTAAACTTCAAACAACACCAATGTATTTGATCACATTGCAAGAAACAAAACAGAATTGAACAAAATAATAGTATATTACTGTTTACAATATTATTCCCTACCCATCACATAATTAGATCTATCAACTTTGTTATTATAATATATCTTCTCCTTTAAACAGTTACATGTAGACAATCCACAAGGATTAATAATCACAATTTATAAAAGTCATTGTATATTTTCAGTCTCTGAGAAATTAAATTTGCAGTTGTCCATATAGATTAGATATTGTATATCCATGTAGGAAGCTCTTATGAAATAATAAATTGTTTAATAACTGAAGTTTTAATGCGAGTAAAAAATAATAAATATTTGTTAACAGTTACCTTTAAAATATTTTTGGTATTTATAATTATTGAAAGATAAGGTTTCAGAATTAAAGGGAAAAAAGCTGCCTAGTTGAAACACGGCAACTTTCTAGGTCTTTAAAAACATTAAACAGTGAAGTTATTGACTGTAACAGTAAAGTTTTTATTGTCTGTAAAATTGTTACTTTGTAAAATTATCGTACTACACTTTTTACTAAACTAAATCAACAATGATAAACCAAACAGATATCTCTCTCCTTCTCTAAAATTGGATGGAATAAATTTGACTAAAACAAGCTGGGTGGATTGAACTGCCTACATTTAAAAAAAATCAAATAAAAAAAAATCTGGTGACATAAAAAAAATCTGGGTACAATAAACAAAGCTACAGCGACCTGTTTTACAGCAAGAGTTTGCATAGCACTTTCAAACTTAACGCAGAATCTAATTCTGTTTCCTTATTTGAGCTACTTATTAACAAGAGAAGACTCGGTTTTACAGCCTTTACAACAAAATTGGTGACTAGGTTCACAAACTTCATACTTTCCTTATGGTCTGTTATCATCTATTGTATTCAAAAAATGCTGTTGTTAGCAAATTGCCCTATTGTTTATCAGAATTAAATAAAATATCATAAATAAATATGCTGTCAATAGTAAATTCCAGTTGAGATACTTTGTCAACATTGAAACAATACAAATTTGAACACAAAATACATCAAAATCTCATATCTCTCACTTGAAACAACCAGAACTTATCAGGGCTGTTTTATAATGAATTTATAAATATAATGCCATACAAATGTTGAATTTATTTTTTCATCAGAAAATATTACAATCAAAAGGTTTTAGGATGTTTTTCATTAAAAAGAAGCACTAATATATCAATAAATCTTTGTAAAAGATGACAAAATTAACAACAAAATACTAAGACATGTATATTATTAAATCGTCCAAGATATAATCAATTTAATATTTTAAGACAACCCTGATGTGTTACAAATAGCTGTTGTTGAACAATTATATAAACTGTATCAGTATTCAATTCTTAACATGGCAAACTTTCATCGAATTTATACAAAAGTCACCAAGCATTTCTATGAAAAGAAATGGCAAGAAGAAACTTTGTAAAAATTATTTTGTTCACTGGTAAATGACTGGCAAGACTTTAGAAATATGGTGATGGCACCAGTGTCATTCTCAAAGGTGATGCATAAGAAACCGGAAACCATTAACCAGTCTTAAAAATTTGAAAAACCTAAAAAATTCCCTCAATGAAAAACCCCTAATCAAAGGGAAGGGAAAGGTTTTCCCTTTTCCCTTTATTTCAAAAACCCTTTTTAACCCTTCATTTTCAGTTCTTAAAATATTTATGGGTAATTATGGATGAAATTTCACCAATTTCTGGTAATCAATGTACATCGTTTTGGCACTTTTCTTTAATAAATCAAATACATTAAATATGGGTTGTTATCATTACTGTTTAGGACAACAGTCTTGCAACAATTAAGCCAGTCTTAACAACTGGCAAAGTCTGGTTGATTATGTTTTACATCAGTCTTGACCTTGACTGGTTCCAATTACAAACTTTGGAGCTTTGTTTTATAATAAACTTTCTCAAGATGTCATACTGAGATTTAAACAAAGAGGTGTTACTGGGATATTGTGATGCATAGGTTGGTATCATCTTACAAAATATAATTATCTTTAACTCCAACCTAGTTTTTTTTTCTTTTCTTACTTTTATATATTAAAGCCAGGTTTTTTCATTAGCTTTTATTAAATGGGCTTACATTTTTATTTCTTTATCAGATATGAAAATTTTACTTGAAACCTGATGGTTTTTTTCCTTCAAGTATTGAGATTTTAAATACAAGCTCTTTATTCTAGTATATTGTCTAAACCAAAAATATCAAAATCAAATTGAAATAAAAATGTTTCAGAACATTCTAAATAAAACAAAATGAAAATAAAAATACACAGAAGAGAAATCACATAATAAAGAACAGAATTATTGGGATTTTTTTCATATTAAAGAAATATTACTTTGTTTACCATGACATTTGTACCAATCATCAGTTATTATGGTAAGAGGGTATGATACAACAAAAATAACTAACCAAAAACATTCTATAATGACTTTTGTCTGTTGGTTTTCAAAAAATAAATTCAAGTTGTAAGAACACAAATGTCATCAAAAATTTCCGTAGTGATTTTCTAATTACATCTAAATCTCTTTTTCCTTAAATATTATTAGTTAGAAAATAAAATATAAGAGAAGGAATTTTTTTATACACATCATACAATAAACAAATGCTCGCATTACATGCAAAAACAAAACTAAATTAAATCAGGAATTTGTAAAAATCAAAAATTCAAAGAAGACATGAGGGCAAGTCTTAAAAAAATCATTTTCTAATTTCAGACCACTCATCTCTTACATTAAAAGTTGTGACTCTCTTTTAAAATGTCAATTATTATAAATTAATACAAATTAAACACAAAACAAACATTTCTTTAAGTTACACAGCTGTGGCTCTATCAATCATTTCACACAAACAGAAAATAAAAAAGTAGGGAGTGTGGGGTGTGGGTGTTGTAATATAAATGAAGTAAAAACAAAAATCACAAAACAAAAACTTAAATATTAAAGATAGTTTAGGTACACCACATTAAAATATAATTTAGAAACTTTGGCTCGAGTATAATACTATAATATTTTAAGTTAGAACAACACCTGTCTTTAATATATCAATAAAATAACAGTAAGAACTTACTTATAACTATCCTTATCTATAATTACCTTTTCTCAAAAATTATTTATTATTCAGGAACTAAACATCTCAAAATTCTAAATGTATAAATACAAATTCAATATAAATTGTGAAGTTGAACAATAACTTTATATAAATGAACTTTAGTCTGTAACCGTATAATTTTGTAAAACTGGATCGAAATTTTGTTTCAGTGATCTTAGTGTATCATTGACAAAGCTAATTCTATTATATATATAAAACTAGCATTGGTGAAAACTTGATAAGATTTAGAGTCTGCCCACAAAGTGATCTATACAACAACAAAAAAACACGCCCCAGTATTGTACGTATTGTGAAGTAAAGTGAAGCTGGACTGTAAGGAGATTAGCAAACTTTGCATAATGACTTTTACGCTTTTCAACAACTATTAACAATAACTATAACACAACACAAATACATGTCTTAACCAAAAAAAATGTCTCTCTTTGGTTTTCAATCCAGAAGTAAACTATAACGTTAAATAAACTTTTCTACCTTCTTCATTCCTAAATTACCAGTCACTTTTTTTTTATTGCAATCAATCAGTGTTAAGTTTAATTTTGGTTGGAAAACCACAAACATACATTTTATATGGCTCTCTCATTATCACATAACAAAAATTCCCTACACAATCCATACAGTAACTGTTGGTACAATATTTAAATATTCATATATTATTTTCATAACACATACACACAAACACTTTAATGTGAAGTGCAGTAAACTTTTAACATACAAGATATAAATACTCAAAAAAATTGTTCAAATTTCCTTAGTAACAATCTTTTCTTTTATTTAAGATCACATTGGGGTAGCCACATGAATTTTCGTAGTAAAACTTGAATGTATTCAAAAATACATTGTTAACACTAAAAAAAAGTTATATTAGTAAATTTTAAACCCAGCCAATTCTAGCTCATATTGAATCATTGGTAGGGTAGGTTAGCTAAAGGGGAATAAAATCTGTTCCTATGTTTGTTGGGAGGTTTGTTTGATAAAACTATTTGTTTGGAAATAAACTCTGCTTACATGTATGTATAATAAGACAGATTATAAGAAACAAAGTTGTTATAAAAATCAAGAACATATATATATTAAATGTAACAAAATGACGGACAAAATAACAAGAAATATCATTAACAAGACAACTTGTAATTCAGTTGTTATTAATCTATTAACTTAAATACAATTGTTCAATATTAAATCAAATTGTAAAAATTATTATATATTCTATCATTCTTTTCTCACATAATCTGTTTTTCTTCATTAACATGTACGATTCATTTTGTTTCCTTACAATATGTATGTATAACAGCTTAATACTGGTTGAAAATTTTGAACCCTGTTTACTGCTTTAATTTATTCTTCTCTGGTGGGAAATATAATATGCATATGTTCTATAGCACCAGTAAACAGTAAATCAGTAATAAATTATTTGGCATTTAACATCAAATAAAATCCAATACAATCAAGTTATTTTGTAATGTAATTATATTTTTAGGTATATCATTTCATTTTGAATTCTCGACAATAATCTATTAATATGTCTGACAATAATTTGATAACATGCCTGACAATAAAAACCAGTTGCTTTTACATGAGGTGATGATTTTTAGGTTGGCTCATACTGCTAAATTAACAAGTACCGTATAATTTTGAGGAAGTGTGTATAATACTAAGATTGTGGCAATTCTATTTTCTCTTATTACTATCATTAAAAAAAAGGACAAAAATGATATGGTTTAAACTGAAAAAAGATACATGAATTAATAAAAAACACTAAATGCAAAACATATGTTATAGTGAAACAAGATCAGTAAAACAAAAGAATGTTGAGCCTATCTAAATGTGATCACATAGCAAGTGTAAAAACTAGGGTCAAGTTCAACAATGAGGATATTCTACTTTCTGGAATGGAGGTGAACTTTTCGGCATAACATTAAAAAAATACAACTATTAAACCAGTCCATATCTTTCATTGGTTGATTTCAAATTCCTGAATTTGAATATTCAGCCAATTACATGACAGAGATGACAGACTGGTGTAAAAACTGTATGGATTGATAATATTAAACCTGATACAAGGGGAGGATGTGTCCTGGAATGGGGATAGGGGTATATTAGGAATGATTAGTTACTACACCATATGGCAAATAAAGAAGACTGTAGATTTCAAACTGATGTAATATTGCTGCCTATTAACATAGTGATGATGCTATTATTGACCATTATATAAAGACAACGAAAACAAAAACAGTGATTTTATAATAACTCAAATAGATATGATTCTACTTAAGCGACAAATTGAGTAAATAAAGTATATTTCTTTCAATTCTTTTTCTCAAAAAAATATCATTTTCTTTGATACCATTGCATGATTGAAAATAACACTACATGTTTAGTTCAAGAGATACAGAATCTCCGAATGACCCTGTTCATTATATCAACATAAAATAGGTACTGGGTAAAGAACCTATAACCAATAAATCCAATGGGAGAAGAATATCAAAATTTGGAAAATATAGCACTATTTAATTGATCACAAGTACTTTATAACAAAAACTACACAGTGATATGTCTAACATAATCGCATTACACAATAAACAGCACATCTTTATTGATCTGAAACCTTTGCAGTTTCAATACTTATTCACTAATCAAGATTAACTATCACTAGGTAAACAATTCTCTTTTTTTATCAAAGTATTATCTAATATATCATAATATCTTCCATGACTTAAAAATAAATCTACGGCAAATTTCTAATTAAAAAAAAAAATTTTTTTTATATCATAATTATCTTATATGTAAAGAAAATGAGAAAAAAGTGAGTACAATTTCAAAGGATAATTTCAATACATGAATAAACGATTAACAATTATCGAAAAAGTGGCCCAAATTTTTTGTAAGTATTAAAATATGTGAGATGAGATCTAAGCTGAGATAGGTAAACCGACAGTAATTATGGCAAGGTACATTATTTGTTCACCACTATACATGTATAATGTTGCATGATACACACACATATATAACTCAAACAACATATGAATATTAACTAGCAACAAAATCTAGCCAGAGACGTTACCTCTGCCATGTGAGATGGAAGCTTAAAGCCAAACTATTCTAACTCGTATTCATCATACAAGATATAATAGTTGTACATCAAGCCAGCAAAATGGCTTCATTTTCCATTTCGTTTCTTTTATTGAGTTTCCTTCAATAAAACTGGATAACAGGCTTATATATCAGCTTAATAAAAACACAGCAACTAGTTGGCTGTAAATTTTTGACATTATAAAATTGTTAAAGTTTTTGAAAAATATTGTTTTTGTTAATTGTTAAGCTTGAAAACCGTCAAGTGTAGCAGGTTTTAACAATAAATGCATCTAGCTTTGATAGCTCCATTTGTCTGCTGAAAAAAAAAAACAATGAGATGAATCTTGGCACAAATATAATCATTATAATTTGAACATCAGTATGAGAATTTTAACCATGATGAAATATAACAATACAAATGTTTGAGTCATATTTTTGTGTGAACACAACATAATTTTTTATATCACAGCAAGGTCAAGGACAGGAGAGACAGTATTACATATGTAGTCAACATAGCATACAACCCGTAACCTACTGGATTTCTAAAATGGACTCTTCCAGCTCCCATATATTAGAACAATCCATTATCAATTTTAGGAGTATCAAGATGAAAAGATTTAAATTAGATGAAACCATCATAACAAAGCCTGACCAGACTGCTAATATGTGCTGGCTGGCCTGACCTTATGCTGATGGCAAAGGCTTATCATTTTGGATCCAGTAGGTTAAGGGTTATTTATAACAATAGTAAAATGTGATAAATCTGCTAAATTGCTAAACACACTAATTTGACATAATTCTATAATTGTCAAGCACCAAAAGTGTCATCTTATAAATTATAATGTTTCAATACAGAAAGACAAATATATAGAGCCACTTATAAATTTGCAAGCAGAAATTTCAGCATCTACAATCAAATTTTTTTACCCTCTTAAGTTATGATTCTTAACCAAAAAAAAGAGAGAAAATTTCAAATCTCAGTGGTCTCCATGGCAACAAAAATGTTGTTGATTTTTTTCCTTCTTTTTATTGACAGCTTATGTAGGCTACATAAAGTAACACATGTATAATAATATGTAGGGAAACATGTGACCTGAATACTCTATATCACTAAACATAAACTAAACATCTCATCTACTAACAATCGCAGACTAATCTAAAGTCCCTTAAAAGAAAAGACTCTAAAAAAAACCCCTAGAAACAACAACTTGTGTTTCAAAAAAAATATTAACAAAAAAAAAAATCAAAATCAGAAATTATTTACAACATGCACCGTTATTCAATATTTTCTATGTAAATAAATGCAAGTCTAACTATTTATACAGTAATGTAACACAAGTTTCAATAAATACATGCACATTTCTTATATAACATGATGCTTTTTTTTGAAAAAAAAAAAATCAATAATTTGTAATGAGAAAATATAAAATGTAAAAAAAAACATCTTGTGACGCAACTTAGAGTCGACGACAGGAAATGACATGGGTTAATACAAATGAAGGAAGTAAACACACATGAACATCTATATCACACCGTTTTGTCTTGGATAGAGGGAATGAACTGGATTACAAAATACACATTATGACCACCTGTCCGAATATCTTTTTTTCCCATTTTTTTTTTTTACAATTTTTATAGCAAATATATATTCATATTTTTGTTGAGGTTGGATCTAGTTTCTCAAATTTTTTTTTGTATTTTTTTTAAAACATTTTGTATATTTTTTTTATCTTTTTTTATAGCTTTTTTATTTTTTTTGTGATTTTTATTTTTATCCGTTTTTTTGTATTTTTTACATATATTTTTGTAATATTTTTATATGAACAAGTACAAAACCTAGGTTGCAAAATGTTTTTTCTTTGTTTTTCTCTAAAGCTGAAAATATCAAGCCAAGTAAAGATGTTAACATTTTTTTTTTTGTTTTGTCATAAATCTATTATATTTAAAAAAAATCCACTAAATGGAATTCAACACCTAAATTATTGTTAATAAAATACAATTTAATTAACAAAAATAAAAAGAAAGCATTAGGCAACCATGAGTCCTGCTATTTTTTTCAAACCATTTTATTTCTTTTTTTGTCTTTTTTTTTTTTTAATTTTTTTTTTTTCTTTTTTTTTTTTTTTTATATTATTTTTATATGTATTTTTTGTCTTTTTTTTTTGGCATTTTTCAATCATATTTTTAATTTCTGTATCTTGCTTTATATGCACAAGTTACATACCATTTCCCAACATTTACGTCCCTTGTTAGCTTTCATCCATACTTATATATAATATATACAATACATAATTTTTTTTTTTTGGACGAGGTATAAACTAAATGGGAAAATTCTGTGTTGACAATACTATGTACAACTGTAATATATGTTTGTAGACAACATGCCTCAATATTCTGGTAGTGTCATGAAGAAAATGTTCTAATTATAGAATTATTTCTAAGTTTATTATCTCAATAGATTATTAAAAAAACCCATCTTTTTATTGGTTTTACAAAACATAGCTAAGTAAATTATGTTAACATATTTTATGTTACCAGTCTCAAAGATTTATAACTCTTGCTTTTACATTTTCTCATATTTTTTCATGGTTATTCCCCTTTCATTAAAAGTATCTAGACCAATTTTTTCTTCTTCATGAACAATAAACAGAATTTTACCATGCATTTTAAAACATTAAACTAAATAATTTTATAACATGAGCCTGAAAAGCTCAATTAAATGAAATGTATGCAAATTTCCTGAGAAATAAGACTTCTTCAAATAAAAATAACAAAACAGAAAAAAAATCTTCTTTTCTTCAACCTTAAAAACATATAAATTACCTTATTTGATGCTGTACATTTTCTTGAAATGTTTTTAAAAAGTGAGGTTAACATGTGCATGAAGTTGAAATACCAATAACCAAGAGAAAAAAAAATATCAAAATCATAAACAAATTTATTGTAATTTTATAAATGTATATTAATTGATTTTTATTGAGTTTTAATTGAAGAGCTCTCACATCACAGTCAACCATGCCAATTTTACTGTAAAACTTTAAATAATGTGGTCCATTATATATACAATTGTATATTGAACTGCAAAAGCCAAAATCAATAGAGATAATAATTCCTGTCAGGAAAAAAATAACAAACCCCTATAATTTCAGTATTTCATATGCAAGTATCAATCATCAGTTAATAGCCTACCATGTTATGTTTCAGTATTAAATCAACAGTTCTTTTTTTTATATTTGTATTGCCCTGTGATAGGATACATCTAGAACTTTCACTTTCTGTTAACGTATTTTGAGCTAAAATTAGAATATTTCACAACTTATCTAAATTTATAAGGAAATAATTGCATAGATTACAAAAACTTAACAATTTTATCATAATTTAAAGTTCTGACTAGTCATCAAGCACATAAACAAATTTCAGATGAATCTTGTTCATATCAAATATCTTTAAAAGACTCTGAGAAAGGAGCATACCATCTTTTTTTAAAATAGAGCAAATATTTCTTAATATATTATCATAAAATTTTTCTTCAAAATTAAAAGGTACTCATCAAATGGTTAAAATATTTTTTTTTATTTCACCACAAACCGTATAAGCCAAGCTAAACTGTAATGTTAGAGTGAATAAAGTTTACCTAAATATTTTACTCTGTTCTTTATTTCATTTCTCAGTTTGTTGTTGTTGTTGTTGCTGTTGTTGTTGTTGTTTTAAACTGCTTTTTTTCAACTGTTTTTATTTTATTGACTACAACTATTATTATGTTCACTCCTAATTATACTTTTTAAAAAAAACAATGTTCAGTCTTGTTTGCCTTTTCTTTATGAATTAAATAAATATATATAGTAAATTTGACTAAAATTTTATATTACAAATGTTTACACCCGAAAGGTGTAGCTGCATCATTAGAGCTAGACATGGCTTCTTTTTACAGTGAAGAAATAAAAACAATTATCAGAAAAATATTTAGATTTACCCTGTTATAATTAATTTTAATTGAAATATCATATCAGTCTCTTTTTGAAAGTGAACATTGTTTCACCACTGGGGTGTGGGAACCAGAATTTTTCTAGTAAGTTTGTTCCTTATGAACATTCCTCAGTAAAAATAAAAATATGGATATATACCTAGAAGAATTGCTAATATAAGACTTGCTTTTTCAAAATACTGGCTGACCCCCAGTAAAACAAGATTAAAAAATATTTTTTAAGTCAATTTTTTACCAGTTAAATAAGAACTTCAGACTTCATGTGTTTTACTTTTTCAAAGTTACTTCAGGTTCATAATATCAACTAAAATAATAAAGGCTTAACAAACATTATAATTGGAATATAGATCAGTTTCTGAATCAGAAATTTAAAAAGCACATAATAATTTCTAAAAGGGAAAATAGGTAGGGTATATCTAGATACAAATAAAATAGATGGCTTAAGCAGAAAACGGGATATCTTTAAACATATAAAAACTCCTGCAATCTTTGGTTCTGTGAAACAATGATATGATGAATATTGTCCTTGATGAAAATATATCACACTACTCTAGTAAAATTCCTTGATGAGAACTCATGTATCACACTATAAGACTGTATTCTTGTAGTTTCTATGGAAAGCAATGTAAGTTTCGTCGCCACCAGAGGGAGCCGAGGTCAATGGAATTACTACATTTAGCTAAATTATACACACAATCCTAATCTCCCTCAGGTTTAGTGTCCTAGCGACAGTTTTGTGTTGATGATTGTGTAATGAGTGAGATCCTTCCCAGTATTGTTGTGATCTCGTACAAGTGAAGTGCCGATCTCATTAACAAGATGACATGCAACAATGAACATGAAACATGAATTTCCAACAGCACTAGATGATAATGCTCTATCAGCTATCGGCTTCAAGCATTTCCAGGAAGAGTTTATGCATCATGATTTTTCCGCTCTTCTTCACATCAAACCAGTACTGTTTGGCGAGCAATTTTAGATGAGTCATGGCAGGCAGGAGTAAATACAGCTGTCCGACACGTTTCAGTCCTCCGTTACTGCGTGATTTGACATAGTCTGTGAGGGCCTCGTGCAATTTTTCTTGCAAAGATTTGCCAGCATCACTTCTCTCTGTAACTACGTCTATATGACAAAAAAAAAACATATTTCTAGTAATTAAAAATGTACGGCAACTCTTACCCTAAATATACCCTTACAAAATATCAATAATTGTTTCATATTCTCAAGTTACCTCTCATTTTCATTTATATATTCAGCTATGAAAACTTAGTAGTTAAGCAAGTAAAAGAACAACCTTAATGCTACCACTTCTATAGCAGGAGTGCAATGTCAGATACAAGATAAAGTAGCCAATTTGCCAACTGATCAACATGTTGGACTGGGTTGGTGGGTTTAATCCACTCTGTTCTTACCTTGTGCAAGATCCTTTGCACACATTGCTTAGTACAGGTATTCCATGAAAGAATTTAACAATGTGTGTATAGCTATTAGCTACTTAAACAAACTAAAATAAATTCTGAGTTATAATGGGTAGTTTACCAGCAATTATAATCTTACAGTACATTATTTATTTTCTTCTTTTATTTTGTTTATAATTTGTATGACTTCTAATGTGTTTATGTTTTTAGAAATATTTATGGAGTATATAACAGTACCTATATTAAAGAGGATAATACTCTTCAGCAAAAGGTATTCATCTTTGGTAATATTCATGCTGGTGAACTTTTTGCACATTTTTCTTGTTAAAGTGTCCAGTTCCTTGGAGCAGCCATATTTCTCTGCCTGTTCTGTTGTAAGCTTGAAATCCTCAGCTATCTACTCAAAACAATATAATAAATCAGATTCCTTAAGAAAAATGTTGTTTACAGTTTTAATTTACAGTTAGATTGCAAGTTACAAGACAGGTAATTTTCTTATTCATTTCATTCTGTTTCTGTCACAGTTTGGTTTTCGTTCAATAACTGGTGGGCAGTTAGGTCATGAATATTTGCGGATTCTCAACAAGAACCTGACTTTCAAATGTCAACATATAAACCACTTCAACCAGAATAACATTAGATATACATCAAAATAACACATTCATGACATTATTCAGAAAATAGGAAAACAAGCAGCAGTTCCTTAAATCTTGAAAATGTCATGACAAAAGATTTTATTCACAGGAGTACAAATATTATCAATTTTGATGAGCTTTTTTTACTATGGCCTTCCAAAAATGTATTTTAACACTTTATTATCAAGTAATTATTATACCTAGCTATCAAGAACAGATTCAAGAGGTATTATAAATAAAAGCAACAACCTCATCTCTATATCATCTAAACTCCGTAATCTATTGCATGTTCATTTTAATCAGTTTATTTAAACATATATGTGATGGAAGCTTAGAGCTTACTAGAACAACTTACCAGAGTCTTCCTGGAATTAACCAGTACTGGCATCCTAAGGAAACATGATCATGATCCCAGTATGGCTTGAACCCACTGCCCTTAGGTTGAAGGGCAAACACCTTAACTACTAGGCTGTCTTATCTTCTAGTTTTTGTTGAAACAGAAATAACTAGTTATTGTTCGGAAACCATGAAGTAGACTGACAGACAGATGGAGCGACTGACCAACCGACAAGCTGACTTATATATCCCCCTAAATTTCGTTTGCGGGGGCGAAATAATAAATGAAAAGATAAATTTACCCTGAGAACTCCATGATATGGTGATGATCTATAGACAAGGTTGAGGAGGTTAATTTCCAGCCATGAATGTTGCAGGAGATTCATTTGATCTGATAAACTTAAACTAGAGAAACCTGAAAATAGAAAACTCAGTCAGAACCCGATTTGCTGTTGGCCTGAATCCTGCTAATACAGATGTTGAAATTATTCTTGTAACCGTTAAGCTTTAGACAGTTTTCGAAGGCAATAAAGATGAATCAATGTGAGTGTAATAATACAAAGAGTGGCATCTGCAGTCTTACAGAATTATCTTCTGAAGGTAGCAAATAACCTTAGTCAGTCTGATTAAAAAAAACCTACAATTTGGTCTTATTTGCTTAACCTAAAGGAATCTGCAAAAATATTGCTTACAATGATAAAATATATTACATTATGTATGTATAGTAATAAATGACATTTTTTTATCTTTACTATGGACTCTTACAGTATCCAAACTTATCAAATTTACTGGTAAGGCAATTAAAACATTACCTAGACACACATACATTTCTTATAATTTCATACATCATCTACAAATGTTGTTATTGTTACATACCTGGTACTTGTTTAGCCCAGCTGATAGTGATAACTAGCTCCCTGTCAGCCAGATCTGAGAGTATTGTGAGGAACTTGTGTTCGTCATCCTTCATACTGGGGTCAGGACGAGCGTACAACTTCTCTAGCTGGCCTTCTATACGTATCAACTGTTGTAGAGTTTTGTTGTCGGCCACTGAAACATAACCTTTAGCTGTAATGAAACATACAAGAAAGCATGTGCGTTAAATGTAGTGAAAGCAAAAGCCATGCAAAAGCAACAGGTTTCTTATAAATATAAACATATTTAGATAATCATTTACCAAGATAAAATATGCTAGTATTGTCAAGGCAGGACACCAAAAAAATTAATCTTCATACAATATTTTCATACAAATATTCAGGACAAAGGAAGAAGAAAATGAAATCTCAAATACAAACATCGCAATAGGCTAGACTATGCATTAATATGTGTGCTTAGAATGTCAAGATCAGTAAACCGGGACTATTCTTAATTTCAAGTTATTTAACCTTGAACCCATGATATATTCCCTCATTATCAAGAAATGTTTTTGCCCATTTAAATTCACATAAATAACAAAACTTTTTTTCAACTACACACTCTTTACATACAGTTTAGACTGTTTGTGCTTTCAGCCTAACAGATGAGCCTTATTTATTTATTTACTTTACCTATTGAAAGTTGAAAACTGATCAATATGGTGCTAGACACAATTATCACCCACAATGAATTAATGATATATTGAATATTACAACCTTCCTATGACTATCCCATCTTCCTTTATGCTTGACAAATATAGAAATAACAAAAAAAAAATCACCAAATTCAATTAAATTAGCTTGAGTTATTTTGAAAAGGAGGATCATTTTATCTTTATATCTTATATTCATAATACAATTTCATGCAATAAATGATAGATATAACTATAATTAGGAATACTAATATCAGATCTCCTTCAGGCTAAATATCAGCAAACATACATTATTTTGAGAGTTTCAATTATTATATGAATGTTATGAACTTTGTCAATTTACGTGAAAAAAGAGATACTTTCAAGTTTATGGTTTTAAGTAAACTTTGCTATTTTCCCATCTATTTGGCAAAAAACATTCAGAATACAGAAAAAATGATGAATTTTGTGATAATTCTACTTGAGATACTGCAGAGGGAACAAAAATGTACCTTTTTTCTTCTCATGTACGAGTAAACAACATTAATATATATCAATATATAATATCAATTAAAACATAAAAAGATACAATAAGAAATATAAGCAAGTTTTACTACGGAATCACCAGTGTTATGATTAAAAGCTTATATCAATATGATTTCCTTCACCAACATTCTCTCCTCCTAAAACCGTAAGATCAAAATTCCCATGAAACTTGTGGTTATACAATTTGAAAGCAACACATGAACGCAGAGAAAGGTTGTGCTAAATATAGAGAGTGGTAGCAGTACAAATAAAGCAAATGAAGCTACTGAGGCGTTCTCTACAAGACGTATGTTTTATCCATTACGTCAGTTTCCAGCGGAAATGTTCATTCCTTCAATTCAAAAACTCGGAAGAGAACAAAAAATATCTAATCTTGTACGTACTTAAAGTAATCATCAAATATGTAAACATTTAACTAAATACTGCAACTACTGTATAGTTTTTCACAAAAAAGTATGCATCTTCAAAATGGGCTCATGCTGAGGTGAAGATTTTGGCAAATCAGTTCAGGGGAAAAAAAAGATCAATTAAAAGATCCGCTGAGCAGATAATGAAGTGTAAATAATATGGAATTCATGGTATTATACGCTCTTTCAGTCCAATTTAGCACCCACGTGAATATAGTGGCGCTGTTTAATTTTTTTGTTTGTTGTTTGTTATATCTTTAAATGTCAGAGAAACAATTGTATGCCAGACTCAGCAGCATATAGTATCTGTTCTTTTAGACTTTTTGCTACTGATAATTACTACCTATGTCATCAATCAAGCCCACAACATTTTCTTATTCTATTATTATTTATACAGCTTACTGTGTTAACTGCATGGTTGGCAACCTAAAATTAAAAATCTCAACTGCCTGCACAACCCAGCTGTCTTATAGCACACTTTTGCTCAATAATAACTTATTTAATATTTAACAACACCTAAAAACAACACTGAATGAAAAAGACCAAGAAACAAAGTTTATCTCTCAATTAAAGTATGGAAATGGTTGAATACTGAAAATTAATACATACCACTATATGAACTGTCAAGACATTGTTTCTTTACAATGGGGAATATTTGTTGCACATATGGATATGAATCTGGAGATCTCTTGTACTTTTGTCTACCTCCTCTAACCCTGTCTAACCTCACACCTGAAAATAAGAAAATAAGTTCATGAACAGTAACTCTGATACAACTACAATAATTTCCTTATAATAGTAATTTCCCCTCTCTTTACTAATGCATGATGATGCAATTCATTTATATAACTCAGTGAAGTTCCAGTAAATGCTCTTCAAACTTCATCAATAACATCCAAACTTCACACAGACTGTTTACTAGACAAGATAAAATGATGGGTTACCTACATGTACATGGATTGAATCCTGTCCATGTTGTTAAATACTTTAAAAATAGAATTTCTTCATTACAAATACAAACAAAATTTATTAACAACTACAATGTATGATCATATTCCAGCAATTGATCACACTAGAAATTCTACACACACAAAAAAATGATGATGATGACATGACAACACCGCAAGTGTCTCTTGGTTCTTGCATGAATCATTACAAGGTAATTGTCATCACAATTTGATATCATTATTTCAAATCTGAATGCTAATTAATAAAACAATGTTTCAAATCTTGGGGAAAAAACCAATTCATTGTGTAACTCAGTTAAGAAGAAAATAATCTATGAACAAATTACATGTGCTATGAGGAAGTTATTTCATATAGGGGAAAACAGAAAGAGAAATGTACAAGTGTTTCTTGTTACAATTGAAAGAAAGGGTAATACATTAGATAACAAAGCACTGAAAGATAAGTAGCTCAATATGATGGGGAAAATTGATCAATTTGTAGAAACAGAATAACTGAATTGCTGCTACAATCTGATCTATATGAGAAATTGCTTTCAACTTGGAGTATATCAACAATTTAATTACAATTATTGTTGACAAAGTCACATTAAAAAGATCAATTAACCTTACTGGATGTGCTACAACAATTCTGAAATTCCCTCTCATATATTAAAGGTATTGAAGTGGGGGCAAGAAAATAATATTGCTTTAGCTAGAATATTATTTCACAACTGTGCTATTAAGTTAAGTACATTCTTTGCCAAACCATCTTAATTTTGTATCATAAAAGCCTATGGCACACAGCAAAACAACAACAGGAGGTGCCATAAAAATGTCTTTTTACAATCACAATCACTGTAAGAGATAATACAAAACTCAAAACCAACACAAATCACATCTAGTACTTTCTTGCATAACTGCCAAAACCTAAATCAATCAACTCTGAAAATGAGAACAAATCATTTGGAAAAAACAATTACTCTGAAAAAGACTGTGCAAGGTGGCTTCTGTCCTACAAAATGGAAGATAACTGAACAAGACAATTAACACAGTGGCGAGAATCAGGCCATGTTATTACATATAACCTCAGATTTGTTACAGAGTATATGATTGTGTGATCTATATTGTTTGACAATCTGTATACAAACATTGGTAGGATAAAAGTTCTACGGCTGTAATCTGAATGATTTATCAGAACCTTGTGACTGGAAATCATATCATGTTGGAGCAAAAATACACAGGTAAAATAACCCAAAATTGATTGTATTTACACTTAATGTATTAAAGTCTATAACAGATGGTATACTACATTAAGCAACAAGTTATAAACCAAACAGACAATTTTTGCTACATTCTTACATAATTTATTCAATTATGTTCTAATTATGACGATATTTTATACTAGTGTATGTTTGAGAAGAAACTAAACATAAGTCTCTAATATTAATCATCCAAGAAGAGAATCATTAACAAAGTAATAAATATTCATGACAAAGATTAGGACAATATTCTAAATAAGAACTACTGACATAGTTAATTGGGTTTCCATGTTTGTGTAAATTCACAATCATAAATTAATCTACTAATTAAGAAACCTTCTAGGCAAATGGATGAAAATCAGAAACATAATTTCTCATGCATTTCCTGTGAGTGGCTTCAATCAAATTAACATAATTGTTGCTTTGTCAATTAATCAATTGTTCTTTAGACTCACAGTTCAAAGTTCATTTAAACTAAAGTCAATGTAACCTATTTTATAACAAAATAATTTACCAGCATTATTATATGTAATCATGGAAACTTTATCATGTTTTATTTAAGACATTAAAGCCAAGTTGCATGATAACATGCAAGGACATCTTACATTTTTTTCTGAAATTGAAGGAACAGGAAATTTGATATAAATAGCATGTAATATCTCTTTAATATATCATGTAAAAAGTAATTAATTGTGTCATGTAATCTGTACTGCATTGTTTTAGGTAATTCAAGTCGAAAATTTGGTGTCTTGCAATATGCAAATTATGCAATCTCATTTAAATGCAAATTTTCAATTACAGCAATTTCCCATTGGACTTGCTATTCAAGCAATCCCAAGCAATGTCTCTGCTCTGGTGAACTGCCAGTTATATCAATATTTTCAATTAATATAAGCATTGACCATTTTCTCTGTAGACCTGTAAACATCATCAACATTGATAGCACCGCCTGAAGGATAGATAGTATAAATGGGTACATAAATCATGTAGAATAACCTTGGACTTTGTCATAAATATAGTTCATTTTAAAGTTGACAAGGAAAGCCGTACTTTTTTTAAAAGTTACCTTATGCTTATATCATGTAGTAAAGATCTATAAGATTGTGTGTAAGTCACCATTAAGATAGGACAAATGTCTTCAGCTTTAGAAATATATCAAATAAAGGAACCTGACTAAGTTGACAAGGATAGCTGTACTTTTCTAAAAGTTACCAAATGTTTATAATCTAAATGACTGTGTCTAATGAACATTAAGATAGAAAAATTTAAGGAACAATGTCTTCAGCTTTAAAAATATATCAACACTATATTCAAATAACGTCCACCCTTCCTTAAAAACAACTCCTAGACTAGGTCCACATAAGTGGTAACTAAACAGTCAGCTTCCATACAAGGGGAATCCAAAGAGAACATCCATACAAGAAGAAACCAAACAGTCTCAATACAAGGGGAAACCAACCAGAGCTAAACAAGCTTTAAGTGATTAATTTTCCCTCTGACCCACTAATGTTGGACCATTAAGTTGAACAAGTCCATGGCAGAAGTAGGGTTAAGACACAAAACAACTGATTTTGAGAAACCATCTGTCATCAACCTAGAATGATTACTCCAATACTTTATGGTGTAGTTAGATAAATAACAAATAGTTTTACAGCAATTACTTGAGTCTACCTATTTCGTCACAAACTGGTTAAAAAAAAGAATGTTGATCTTGTATCTGAGAGGCAAAACAAGATTGCATTTGAGAAAAATGCTATGCCACCGCATGGTTCAAATTTCATAGCTGTACATCAAAGGACAAGAAAGTAGGTCACATCATCAAAATCTAGGTCACCTGATATCAAAGTTCAATTTTACAACTAAAACTGTGTCAAAATGTCATTGCTGCACACCAAAGGACAAGAAAGTAGGTCACTGTCCCCTTGGGCAAGGCATAATTTTGACACAAGGGTTTAATTCAAAACAATTTTGATACAGGTCCACCAAACAACATTTCAAGTCAAATATCTAAGCTATAGCTTTCTCCCATTCAGAAAACATTTGTTTTATTTTCTGTTTTTGCTATGTGTACATAATGAGAATCACTGCCCCGGGCAGGGCCAATTTTGACACCAGGGGAAAATTTTGAACAACTTTGGTAGAGGACCTATAAATGATATCATATATCAAACATCAAAGCTCTATGCCTTGAACCTTCAGACAAATATATTTTTTAATTTTTTCACTATATGTACATAATGAAAATCAATGACCCCCGGGGCGGAACCAATTTTGACCCCAGGGCTATAATTTGAATAATCTTGCCAGAGGTTCACTACACAATTTTTCATGCAAAATATCTTAACTCTAGCCTTTGTAAATTTAGAGAAGATGATTTTTTAAGTTTGTACTATATACATATAAGGAAACCTATGGCCACCAGGGGGCGGGGCTAATTTTGACACAAGAGGCAAAATTTGAATAACTTTTGTAGAGTACCTTCAGATGATACAATTTAACAAATATTAAAGCTCTAAGCCTTGTACCTTCAGACAATAAGATTTATTTATTTTTTACTATATGTATATATTGAAATCAGTGACCCCAAGGGCGGTGGCAATTTTGACCCCAGGGCTATAATTTGAACAATCTTGCTAGAGGTTTACTACACAATGTTTCATGCAAAATATCTAACCTCTAGCATTTGTCAATTGCTAGAAGAATTTTTTTTGAAGTTTTTACTATAAGTTTTTACTATATACATATAAGGAAAACCAATGACCCCCGGGGCGGGGCCGATTTTGACCCCAGGGCTATAATTTGAACAATCTGGGTAGAGGTCTACCAGAAAATGCCTTATGCAAAATATCTAAGCTCTAGGTCTTTTGGGTCTTTACAAGAAGGTGTTTTAAGTTTTTACTATATGTACATATAGTGAATATCAATGACCCCGGGGCGGGGCCGATTTTGACCCAAGGGCTATAATTTGAACAATCTTGGTAAGGGTCTATCAGAAGATCCCTTATGCAAAATATCTAAGCTCTAGGCCTTTTGGGTTTTTACAAGAAGGTATTTTAAGTTTTTACTATATGTACATAGTGAAAATCAATGACCCTCTGGGCGGGGCCAATTTTGACCCCAGGGCTATAATTTGAACAATCTTGTTAGAGGTCTACCAGACAATGCCTTATGCAAAATATCTAAGCTCTAGGCCTTTTGGGTCTTTACAAGAAGATTTTTTAAATTTATTCTTATAATTTGATTTTTTAAGTTTGTACTATATACATATAAGGAAACCTATGGCCACCAGGGGGCGGGGCTAATTTTGACACAAGAGGCAAAATTTGAATAACTTTTGTAGAGTACCTTCAGATGATACAATTTAACAAATATTAAAGCTCTAAGCCTTGTACCTTCAGACAATAAGATTTATTTATTTTTTAGTATATGTATATATTGAAATCAATGACCCCAAGGGCGGTGGCAATTTTGACCCCAGGGCTATAATTTGAACAATCTTGCTAGAGGTTTACTACACAATGTTTCA